TCACACCGAAAGGTCTCTACGACCATCAAACTGAAAATTGACAACTTGAGGATTAAAGTGAGCTCGAATCGTAACCCGATTCGGAGACCGGATCCAAAATAGTTAAACTAAGCAAGGCCTTCGGGCCTCATATCAAAAGGTCTCTACGACCATACAACGTAAGTGCCATTGTCGCCGGCTAAGCAAGCCTCCAGGCCTCATACTGAAAGATCTCGATGACCAAGCAACAGAAAGGCTACCGCCACAGGTCGAAAGCTCTAATGAGATTCAAGGGTCAATTACAGCTCGAATTGCAACACGACTCAGAGACTGGACCCAGAAAATCATCAAACGCCTAAGGCGCGGGAAGCAAAAGGCACTATCGCCAACCAGAACCTCCGAAAGGGACAAAGGCTAATTGCAACTCGAATCACGACATGATTCAGAGACTGCACCCAAGGATTGTAGTACACCCAGAGGTACGACACGAAGACCATTATCTCCCAACTCGGAGACTAGCTCCAAGAAAATTGCCAAACACCCAAAGGCAGAGAATGAAAATCATTATCGCCAGCCCAAACGGGCTCGAAGGTAGGATAAGCCTGAGTTAGGATCCTTACTCAGAGATCGAATCCGAAGGCAATTCGACCAACGCCCAAGAAGCACGACAGCAGCCGAGGCAAATCTCCGGGCCGCTCGCCCATAAAGCCGATTCAGTCCAGAAACACGAAGGGTCATCACCCTCCTCCCATACATACGGGAAGAAAATGGAAGGAAAAACGGAGCTCAAAAATGCCCCTTACTGGTTCGATTATCGTTTTGGATAGCTCGATCTTTATTATTTTACTTCACGTTTAGTACTACTCACCCTCTCAAACTAGCTCGGGACTAGATCACGTATTTTTAGAATCCCATTTTACAAATTTAGTTGTTGTTACCATTTTCACAGTAAACAGTATGGCTAAAACCCCCTCCTCTTAGAAATTGAGCTTCCATGGTGCCCGTGTAAGTGTTGTAAGTTCGAAGCGTGATTGATGCAGTGCTTGTTATGTTAAGTGAATTGATGTTGTGATAATGTATGTGGTAAGTACTTCTTTACGTGTTTAATGTGTTATTCTTGTAAACGGAAGATGTGTAGAGAACATGATTTGTGTGCTAAATGCCTAACTATCATGCCAAGGTTACTTTGGAACTAATATACCAAACTTGATGAATTCCCCTCTATGCTTATGACTTAAATTGATTTTGTATATGCCTATGACTTTATGTGGCAAGTTAAATATTGAAAATGGGAGACAATGTGAAACGTAAGTTATGGAATGTGGAAATTGCAGCCCCATGTGCCGGTAAACTAATACATGTGTAACCAAAGATTGGTGTGAGATGAATAGCGGAAAATGGTAACGTCTTGGGGAGACGGCTTAGCCGATCGGGCCGTGATCAGACGCCATGATACATATACACATGGTGGTAATGTATTGATGATTGATACCGGAAAGTGTGAATGAAATAATGGTAACGTCTTGGGGAGACGGCTTAGCCGATCGGGCCGTGATCGGACTCCGCTCACGGAAGCGGTGGTAATATGGATAATGATGCAACAGTGTGGGATGCTCCAATCTAAAATTTCAAGAACTATGTGAAAGTCATGTATTGTTGGCATGGTGCTTACTTGAAACTTTGTTGTCTTTACGATTTCCTTTTTACTCTTGTATGGTTGTTCTTTCTAACAAGATGGTGTTTAGTTATACATACTAGTACTATTCCAGGGTACTAACGTCCCTTTTGCCGGGGGCGCTGCATTTTTTTTAAATGAATGTAGGTGGCTCCATAGCGAATAGTGTCGATCGTGTGTAGCGGAGCATTCTCTTCTAGAAATCTTGGTGAGCCCCTTCCTCCTTCAAGGGGTTATGTTGTACACCTTTTGTTGTAGATATCCATTTTGAGGTATAGCCGGGGCCTTGTTGCCGACGTTGTTATCATTGTCTTTTGCATCCTTAGAGGCTCCGTAGACGTTTGTGTGGGTTATGTACGGGTATTGGATAGATCATTCAACCATGTTGTAACCTTGTACTCTTGCTTTCTTCTAAATTATAACTGTATGGAATCTTGGAAGCCTAATTACGGTTAAGGTTGTGTCATAGAATAAGCTATCCATGTTAAATGTGCAACCCCCCTCTTATTGTCTAATTAAACGGAAACCAGATTCCTTAATCACATTGAGTTGGGTAGAAAGTGTTTGATAAAGCTTGCTCAGTTGGGTTCACTTGATTGAGCGCCGGCCGCGCCTCCCGAGGTTAGGGCGTGACAACATCGCACTAAAATAAGGCCTCACTGGAGCACCTCGAGGAGGTGGTGGTGGTGCTAAATATGAGTTGAGCGGAACCAGGCATAAGGAGCAACAATTGCTAGGCTTGCTGGGCTGGCCCCTCCCAAACTGGCCTCTGCACCTAGTTGTGGCACCTCTAAATTATCCAAAGAATTGGGCCCTCTTGTCCTGCTACAACTGCTCTCTACCCCTCTGGCGGTAACCCTTAATTCTCCGCGCGATCTCTACCACTAGCTGATACTCAGTCCCCATCTCAACCTCTCGGGCCATGCTAGCTCGAATACCAAGGTGTGATCCCGCAACAAATCTCCGCACTCTCTCTACTTTTGTAGGAAGTATCATAAGTGCATGGAGAGACAACTCAGAGAATCTCGCATCATAGTCGGTCATAGACATTTGACCCTGCCCGAGCTGCTCAAACTTACACCACAACTCTTCCTTCTGAGGGGGTGGAATATACCTTTCCAATAGAAGCTATGTAAACTAATCTCAATCCATGGGAAGAGAACTTGCTGGTCTGCTGTAAAGGTAAGACCGCTACCATCTATGGGGCCTGCCCTCTAACTGGAAGGCGGTGAAATCCACCCCTTGGGACTCCAATATCCTCATTTTGTGCAGTCTGTCCCTGCACCTATCAATGAAATCATGGGCATCCTCATGACGTTCACCTCCGAAGATAGGAGGGTGTAGCCTAGTCCATCTGTCCATAAACTTCTGCGAATCGTCATCCACAGCTGGTCTGGGCGCAGGTGTCACTGTTGCAACTGGCTGGGCACCGCCAGCGGGTAGTGTACTCGGAGTCTGGTACATGGCAGCTGCATGCCTAGGAGCCTAAGCAGTAAGGATCTGTGCTCCCCCTGCTTGAGATGTAGCTGGGTCTGCTGCAAATACACCAGCCTGAGTCATAGAGTCCATGAACTGTAGCATACGGCCCATGACCTCCTGGAAGCCTGGTGCTGTCATGAAATCTGCTGGGGCAGTCTCTGCTGTGGGCACCTCTTCTTGCTCCTCGATAACGGGATCCCCTGCTGGATCCGCCGGTGGTGCAACAGGGGCAGCTCTAGGATGCCCTCGCCCCTACCTCGAGCCAGTGCCCTCCCCCGACCTCAGCCTCAGCCTCTAGCAACGGGGGAAGCAGCTCCTCCCGGGTCTGGATCGTCCGTCCAACGCGTCCTTACCATCTGTGAGAGAATATAATAAGGAAATTTAGTACACCATCAACTGCACGTTAGAAGATGAATAATGACTAGTTCCTAACACCCTATAACCTCTCGAAGATAAGTACAGACGTCTCCTTACCGATCCGTAAGACTCTACCAGGTTTGCCCATAACTTCTGAGACCTATGTGAACCTAGTGCTCTAATACCTTGTTGTCACAACCCAAATTCCATATTAGGTTGTGATGGCGCCCAACACCATTGTTAGGCAAGCCAACACTAATCAAGTAGTAAATTCTCATTTATTTAGTTAGCACGTGATAACATCCATTATGGATTAAGAAATTGAGTGTTTGAAAATTTAAGCATATTTAAGTGGAAATACTAAATGCGAATTTAAATCATGAAAGAAAGCCAAAACATCATAAATCTACCAATGTGTGTACCAAGACCTGGTGTCACAAGTGTGTGGGAAAACCACTCTCTGAACCTACCCAGCACGGACCGCGCTGATTAGTCACGCGGCCGCGCTGGTCGACTTGAACCACTGGCCCTCTGAACCTTGCCACGCGGACCGCGCAAGAACGCACCGCGGCCGCGCGGCTTCCAGCGCGGACGGAAATGACCGCGGCCGCGATGGGGGCCTGCAACACCTGAACCTGCAACCATCTGATATTTCTAGCCTAAGACCTCCCGGGACCTACTCAAAACTCACCCGAGCCCTCGGGGCTCCAAACCGAACATACATATAAACTCAAAAATATCCTACGGACTCATCCGTGCGATCAAATCGCCCAAACAACATCATAATCATCAAATTAGGCCTCAAGACCCAGGATTTCCTTCCAATTTTCATAAAACATCAAGTTTAGAGTTTTTTTGTCCAAAACACGTCAAACGACGTCCAAATTCAACCAAACTTTACAGAAAGTACTTAAGCCGTATATAAGACTTGTACCGGGCGTCGGAACCAAAATACGAGCCCCATACCACAGTCTTTTAATCAAATTTCATTTCCAATTTCCTTAATTATTTCCAGAAAACAATTTCACACAAAGATTCATTTCTCGGGCTTGGGACCTCGGAATTTGATTCCGGGCATACGCCCAAGTCTCATATTTTCCTACGGACCCTCCGGGACCGTCAAATTACGGTCCGGGTCCGTTTGTCCAAAACGTTGACCGAAGTCAAACTTAATTAATTAAATACCAAGATTTAACAATTTTTCTCACAAATTTCATATTTAAACTTTTTCGGCTACGCGCCCGGACTGCGCACACAACTCGAGGCAAGCCCAAATGAGGTTTCCAGGGCCTCAGAAGTACAGAGGGAGTAGGAATACAGGTGATGACCCTTTTGGGTCGTCACAGACATTAAGCGTGAGAGTGTGCCGCCAAATTTAATACCAAAACATTAAAAAATTATTATTTTGTGAAAAATCAGGCGCCAAAACTAATATATTGAAATAAAAAGTTTTAAAAAGTAAAGATACTCTCTATTCTCAAAAAACAAATCGCGTCATCAGCTCTGCCCTAGTTTCCGCCAAGCTCTGCCCGTCGCCTTTATCTGTGTTTTCTCAAAACAAAAGTTGTGAATCTGGTTGTGTTTGAATTTGCCCAAGTTTTCCATCTCGCTCGTTGAGAATCGTTGGTATGTTTAAAGTTACTTTGTTTCAGTGATTTAGTTTACAGCATATTGGGGGAAAAGATTGTGCTTCTCAATTTTTTGTCCGAACTTTTGGTCTAGTTTCATATTAGTTCAATTAAATACAATTGAATTCCTGTGGTAGTGGTGCTATACACTGAATTTGGAAATAGCATCTACCTCTGTTCTTTGGGATTTTATCGCTACTAGAAAGTAGACTTTCTTTTAGTTTGCTCCATCTCTCTAAGTTTTCTTTCAGAGTTAGATATATTTAATTGGATGTTATTAAAAGGGAGTCCAAACAATTTGAATACGAAAATTCCCTGCTTTTTCAATATGTTGGATGTCTATTAGCTGTTATAGAGCCTTTCATTCTTCTGATTAAAATCTGTTTTCCCTCTTTCAGGTTGCTTTGTTTCGCTGATTGCTTCGCTTATTCGAGTTCTTCGATCTTCTTCTTCTTCCCTAACATAAAAATTTTGGTAAGGTTTCACATTTTGATATTTTTTCTTTTGCAAAATCAGTGAAAAGATTATTGGGTTGGGATTCCTAATTTGATAATTTAATTTTCTGAAGTTTATTTAAAATTGCGATTCGGTATTCTCAGCGGCAGATTTTAATTGCCTTATTTTGCTTCGTTGATGTGTGTTTCTGCCTTCCCCATGGCTTAACTAATCCCTGTAACTAGCAATCTAGTTTGTGTACTATAGAAGAGTGCCGAAAGCACCTTCTTGAAATGCTAAAATTATGTTTAGCATATTTTGGATGTAGCCCATAATCACAACGTTTGCAAAAGAAAGACCAACCATACCCCATCTCCTTGCATCCAGTGCAAAGATAACTTGCTGATGTATTAATGCTAGTTCATGCTCATTGTGAATTTCATCTTTGCCTTTCTTGGGCCAACCCATTGTATTTTTGTCGAGTCGTTGCTGCAGATTCTTTATGTGTTCTTCTGTGAAGGAACAACTGCCTTACTTGTGTATTCACAGTGCAGCCACTGGTACTAATGGCTATGGCCACTGGAATGCCTACTATGTTGAATCTGCGCGACAGAAACGCCTTCCTCTCATCGTCGAAAGGGAGTGCTAACCAGGGCATACTTGAAAATAAGTTATTTAAGGAAGATTCATCATGATCACTAGAGATGAAAATCACTTCAAATGTTTCATCTTTATTCTTGATTTCTTTGTATGTAGTGATGAGTTTAGGTAGAAATTCTCTACTTTGAAGACTCCACTGAGCTGCAAAATACAGTACAATGTTGTTCCCCACTAGTTTAGACACAGGAACCTAAAACAAGAACAGAGAAAAAATAGCATGATTAGCAAACATCAACTTTATCTCTCCCTTTGAAATGAATTCACATTTTCAGTCTACAAAAACTTACCTTTAAACCACCATTCGAAATGAAAAAATATCGATCTGCAGTAACAAGAATAGACTTTAATGTTTGTGCTTCTAGATTTTCTTTCTTTAGATTAGCCAAAGTAACAAGCTTTTCTTGTGTGAAAGGAAAGGCTTGATCACCATATCTTCAACAAGTTTAACTGCATTTTGCTGCAGAGTCTTCCCATCTGGACTAATTACAACTAGCTGCGGTAGAAGTTTATGCTCAAAGTACCAAACAAGTTTCTCACAGTTCTTGTCATTGAAAGGTAAAGCCAACCATGGCATGGTCTCAAAGCCTTGTTTAAAATCCTCATATTTTTCATCCAGAGAAATAAGCACAATTTCAAAATCTTTTGTTTAAGCTTTTTATATACATCTGCTAGCTTCAAGGTAAAAATCTTGCACCCTTTATGAGAAGCCATAGCAAAATATAGGCCAACTGTTTTCCTTTCAAGCTCTGACACAGAAATCTGAAAACAAGCATGTCCTAAAACTAAGCACAAAAACTTGTAATGCATTAGAAATTATCCAACTTGAGGACAGTTATTACCTTGCTTTCTTCGTTTGAAATAAAAAAATCGCAGTATTCATGTACCAAAATAGACCTCAAAGACTGATTCTCTTTAGCCTTCTCTTCTTCTTCTCTCAAGTAATTTACTCTTTCAGATGTAAATGGATAGGCTTCAGGACCAAAGTGTTTGATAAATTTGACGCCCTCGTTGCTCAAAACTTTGCCTGTCCCATCAAGAATCACAAGATGTGGAATTTCCCTTACTTTGAACAACTGCTTTAAGTTCTTACGCGCCTCAACATCAGAAAATGGAATAGCAAGCCATGGCATTTTCCCAAAGTACTCATTAAATGATTCATTATCTTTATCAGATTAAATGAACACTATTTCAAAGTCACCTTTAGGATAAAGATCCTGATAAGCTTCCACCAACTTTGGTGTAAACTGGCGACATAAACCACACCACGAATTGGAGAAATACAAGCCCACAATCTTTCCCTTTATGCTGCTAGTTCTAATCTACAAACAAGTATATAAAAGTGGTGATCGAATTGGTTCTTATTCGATCTTTCATATTCTCAGATAAGACTATAGAGTAAGTATGCAAGTTAAGAACTCTAAAAAACATAAACTTATACATTCCTGTTCACCATTTCTGCATATTAGAAAGTCTCTTTCCTCTGAAGACAATACAACTGCGAGATCATGAGGGAAACTTTCTTGATCAATTGCCATAGCCATCAGTTCTGATTCTTATATCCTCAGAACAGTACAGTATATAACATGTTTCATTTGATATGTTCTGTTTGATTCTATCTTAAAGAAAATGGATAATGTTAGCAGGGAATGTGAGCACTTGCCGGTCAATTTCATCTGAATTTTCAAGCTGGCCGGCCGTGTCACAAATACATATTAAAGTGGTTTTAAGTGCATTATTGAATAAGATAAACCCCTTAAATGGTTTTTAATTAGCCTTTATTGTGAGTCTTGTGAACATGGATTAGAAGTATTATAGCTGCCTAGACCAAATTTTGAACAATGTGTTACAATATTGTAATCAAATCCACTTATATGATAGTGACAAATGAAATGATATACAATTGTTTAGGTGGACAGTGGAATCTTTATTCCTCAACTTCCAGGATTCCTTTATATATACTGCTTCTTCACTGAGAAAAGCTACAGCATTTGCCTGCTGGCTTCTGCCAGTAGACTTGCTAAAACTCCATTTACAGAAACAATTTTTTCTTTGTTTCTGCATCTTTTTTATGAGAGGCTGATAAAACGTGCTAAGTTACAACTAGCAATTTCTTTAACGAGTTCTTTACCCCCCAAAAGTTGAAATATTGAGAGTAATGCTTGGTCCATAGTCATACTCCTTTATAGCTAATGGTCAGAGGATTCATTTAACCTTGGTGCATTTGCTAATACTACTAAAATCACTGCTCATTTGAAGGAGAAAAGTAGTACAACATTTTAACTTATAGAACTAATTGTATGTAAATTATTGCTACAAGCTTTTCATGTCCAGATAAGTGACATCATTTTCATGTCAATCATCTCATTCTAAGACTTTTTGCTAGATCTAGAGGGAGTTGGGAGCATTTGGACTGTAGTAAAAAAGAATAGATCATTTATCAATACATTAATGAAAAAGGGAAGCCCGGTGCATCAAGCATCCCGCATTTAACCTGATAGTCTTGCAAAGCAGGTAACTTGATAGTCTTGCCGTTCATCTGAACTGTATATCAAATGTAAATTGGTAAAACGCGAAAAGGGGGGAGTCAGAAACTTCCCACAACCGGGCATCCCTAGAAAAGAAGAAGATCCAACAACTTGTTTGGTATGTTTCACTTGAGAGAATTAGCAACCTCTTGGAGGATATTGAAATCTGATGGTCCATGAGTATCTATAAATCCTCGAAATGACAGTTCAGGCACAGATTGTTTTCCTTCCAACATCTCATGATCTATAAAGATGACAACAACTGTTATATCATCATTAAAGGCCCTCCTCGCACCCTTGTCATACTTCTTAAGGTCATCATACTTCTCTTCCTTCTCCTTGCTGCCTCATCTAGGGATAATATAACAAGTCTTCTTGTGATGCCCTGATATATTGGATGAAATACATATAAGTTTAACCAAATAGGCTGAAACTAAAGCAAGTTACTTCACCCTTGCTTATTGTTGATGTCCTCTTTCATCTTTTTTTTAAGCAACAAGTTGGTCTATTGGAATACATTAGGATGAAAGGGAAGGTCTATGCTCTGCCCTGTTTTCTCTGTTCACTTGATATTCCTGGAGGCTAAGTTTGAGTTTAAGCTTTTTAGAAGCAACTTATGTTTAAGTTTATTAAATTTCTTACATTTAATCTTAATGTTTCACAAATATAGGCGAGAAGCAACAGGAATGCGGCAAATCGAGCTAAGTTGAACATGCTTCATCATATTGGTAGCAAGCCTATTAGTGAGATCATTTATCAAAAGGTATTATCATAAAATTTCTATTTTCTTAAGAAAATATTTACGAGCTATTCTTTGACATGTTTGCCTTTGATGATGTAAAGGGTGGAAAAGATGGCAACCCACCAGATTTGGCAACAATTTTCTTTGAGACCCGTAAGAAAGATAACAAGCTTGTTGAACCTGAAGCAATTGAAAAGCATGTATGTTTGGAAAATTGAATATGTAAATTACTTGAAATTATGGTGGATTTTGATTTTAAATGTTTTTTTTATATATTTTGTAGGCTCAAATTGAAGAAATAGTTCAAGCAGATCCATCTCTACCTAACATAGAGATTGTAGAAAAATGTTGTGGACCTCAAACTCGTAGCCATGTGTTTGGCTTTGGGGGTGGAGTGAAGGTGAAAGACTTGAAAGGTGGAACCTCTTCAAAGGCTGAATTACTGTCCGCGCTACGTTCAACTCGAGAAGAAAATAAATCTTTGAATGAGGAAAACAATCCTTGAATGAGCGCTTGTCTACCTTAGAAGATGAGATGAAAGAAATGAGGAAAATGAGAGAGTACTTTGCTGCTCAACAATCACATGTCCCGCTTACAACGACATTGCCCGTTTCAACTGAATGACCTTTGTTTTTGTCTGCTGACCAAGTTAGTAACAATATACCCCACCTCCTTCCTGATCTCCCTTTAAATCATTATATATATATATATATATATATAAAATTTGGTACAACATACTCCATANATATATATATATATATATATATAAAATTTGGTTTTGTATCTGATAACATTCCCAACCTAGACATTCCACCAGGTAATCCCTATGAGAAGCAATAAAAGATTAATAGTAATCTGATTCATTTGTTCTATTGTAAAGAGCAAAGTTAGCTTGACGAGCATAGATGAGAAAGCAAAAGAGAATAAAGTGATTCATTTCTTAAGAGAGGATAAAGTGATTCTTTCAAAGAAGAAATGTGGTTTCAAAATGAAGTATCTAAGGTTGCAGAATAAATGTATACTGCAAAAACTTTAGGTACAATTCAGAGGAGAAGGCTTTCTGGAAAAGGTTAAAATGCAAATATATATGGAGTCCTTAATAGCTAAACATATGGTCGTGGCATGTGAATGCATTTTTATCTTTTAGCATGAAAAAGATACTCTGAAGTGATAGTTAGATCTGTCGAGGTGTGCACAAGATAGTCTTGGCGATGGAGACGTACTCCTCGTATATACCGGCGGTAATGTATATTAGAAAATAGCCTGAAGTGGACATGGAATTGTTTGGAGCAGCAGCAACAGCATCAGTTATGGTGCTGAAATTCCCACTTCCGTCCTGGTTTACTGTCACAACGTCCCTCACCAGAACCTGGTTCTTGCTGAAATTCCCACTTGCTTCATTTTGCACTGGAATGAAGCATACCATGTTGTTGTTTGTTCATAATAGTTGGTCTCTCGAATGGTAAATCTCGAATTGTCGAACCGGGATTTGGCGAACCAAAGTAACATTAACCATCCCAAAGCTTTTCTAATTAATTTTTTTAATATTTTTGTAGCCTTGTTGATGTTGCTGGATAACACCTTGTGAATTTAGACTGCTTTTGGAGTAAGTGATTTAACTATTGCTCATATAAAATTATATGTGTTATTTTACCAATAGTTATTTATTATTTTAAAAATATTTGTACTTACAGATTTTGAAGATTGAAGCTACAAGTCAAGATACAAGTTTAGAAGATACACAAGCTATTATTATTTTGCTAAAAATGTTATGCAAAACTTGATATCATAGTCTACCTCAGGATGTTAGCTACGTTTTTTTGGTTGAGGTGTTGAGAAAACATAGAAAGTAACATCATCATGGGATATGAACTTGATATATTTTCTTTTTATATCTGGATTTTTCAATACCAATTTGATATTTATTGATAAAAATTACTTTTTGTTGCATTGAGCTTTTAGGACTACTCATGGTTATTAGTAGACCATGAATACTTAGCTAAATTACAAAATATTTTAAATAGGGACATCGTCTCTAATAATAATCTAGGACCAGTTAAAGGTTGGTCGCGAAAATGGTTTCACGACCAGATGTTTTGTCGGTCTCTAATAGATACTTTAGGACCAGTTGGCGTTGGTCGCTAAAAAGATTTAATGAAGGGAATATATATATTTTTCATCGTCTATTAGGGACGAGAAATGTAGTCTCTAAATGTTATTCGCGACCAGGTATTCTGTCCGTCTCTAAAAGGCAATTTAGGACCAGATACAGTCTGTCCGTCTCTAAATATTTTTTCATCGCCTACTAGGGACGAGAAATGTGGTCTTTAAAAGTATTTCATGACCAGTTTTTTTGTCCGTCTCTAAAGTGATTTAACGACCAGGTATTAAGACCCGTCGTTATTGACATTTAGCGACGGAGGCTATTACGACGGGTTATGACCAACCTTTTCCCTTCGTAATTTACCCTTTTAGGACCAGATTTTTACTTTTAGGGACCAGATTTCCCATCCTTAAAGGCCGTTTTTCTTGTAGTTACATAAAAATGGAAATATAGTACAGAACTGGTTCTTGAAATAAAGAAATGAGACACAAGAGATAGTCTAGGTAATATGCACAAATAGGACTCATTAAAAGAGTGAATTGTAACGCACAAATACGGACTCATTAAATAGAAGTAAAAAGAAGTGAGAATTATATATCACTTAACCGTCAATAAGTAATAAACATGTGTATAAAAGATAAATACTTTGCATTTATTCCTTTGGCAATTGGCAGTAAGAGTGGTACTATGATGAATTTGAAATATTTGAGCTGGAAACATGATACTAACAAGTGGTCGTGAAATTCTGAAGATTTTAAGGTATCTGTTTAGGTTCTTGGATCTTAAGAACATATTTTCCCATCCTACTATTTTCACATGATACTAGATAGTTCACGAAAGCCCCACTAATCATGTTTAGTTTTATAGCAATTCTTAATTTGCATTTATTTGTGAAAATAGCTTGAGATGAGCCTTAATAGAGGTGCAACGTGGTCATGAGGGTACCTCATTTTGTTTTCTAATTTTTCCAATTTTGTTCACTTAACAATATTTAGAATTCACATACCCGATTATTCGGGTTCGCGCCGTATAGCACTCATTAAAGAGGTAGTAGAACTTCTTATTTTCAGACCCTGATACGAAATCTTTTATTAAGCAAAGAGAAGTTATTCATCCCATCAACCCGTTGGTGACGTGTTTGTTTTTTGTTTTTGAAATTTTGGAACTTGTTACGGAGAAGAAAGAGAAGTCCAATTGTCAAATTTTGATTCATTATTTAACAAGGGACCTATTAATTTAATGCGGTTAATTAGTCATGAGTCTAGCGTAGATAACGTATCTATCAAACTTCTCCTTTCTGTAAATTTTGTTGGACAAAAATCATAAGTACTATGAAATAAAACCAGAAGACTTCCTGCAATGACGTTACATTGAACAATTACACATACTTTTGATAATCTACTATTTGAATCTTAGAATAAATTTAAAGCGTACCGTCATCCTTCTTTCCCCAAGACTTCATGAAGTAATAAACTACACTTAACAAAATGGTAGCCACTATTCCTCCATATACAATTGCTGCCAATTTATCTTTGTGGGAAGTATAAGAAGAGCATGACGGGCCAAATCAATAAATCTGGTCTCGTACCGAGTGACGGTCATAGAACCCTGCTGAAAGGCGCTCAAACTGCCTCCGATAGTCCTCTCTCTGAGTAATAGGAAGATACTTCTCCAAGAATAGCTGAGAGAACTAGTCCCAAGTGAGAGCTGGTGATCCGGCTGGTCCTGCCAAACAATATCCCTCCACCATTTTTTGGCGGAACCTGACAGACGGAAACCAGCAAAGTCGACCCCATTTGTCTCCACTATCCCCATGTTCCGTAGAACCTCGTAACAACTGTCCAAATAGTCCTGGGGATCCTCTGAAGATGTACCGCCATAGGTAATAGTGAAAAGCTTGGTGAACCTGTCCAATCTCCACAAGGCATAAGAAGACATAGCTGATCCATCACCGGTTTGTGCTACAACACCCGGCGGAACTACCCCAACCGGCTGAGCTGCTATAGTCTGAAACTGGGGAGCTATCTGCTCCGGAGTGTGAGTACGGGAGTCTGTGCCCCTCTAGAACCAGAGCTGGCTCTGCTGGAACGGTCTAGGTCAGAACCTCATCATCAAACCCTACCTGAGGCTCCGCCGCTGGTGCTACTGCTCGAGCTCTAGGCTGAGCCCTGCCCCTGCCCCTGCCTCGGCCACTAGCACGGCCTCGGCCTCGTCCTCTGTCCCGCGTAGGAGCTGTCACTGGGGGCTCGGGCTGCTGATCAGCTGATGAAGCGGTACGTGTTCTCGCCATCTACGAATGGACAGAGTAGGGAGTTCAATTAGCATTGAGAGATCGAACCGCACGACAGAGATGAATAGAAGTGTTCCTAAATCTGTAGCCTCTAGGGGATAAGCAGAGATGTCTCCGTACCGATCCCTCAGACTCTACCAAGCTTGTCCGTGAATTGTGAGACCTAGGCAACCTAGTGCTCTGATACCAACTTGTCACGACCCGAATTTCCCACCTTCGGGACCGTGATGGCGCCTAACACTGCACTTGCTAGGCAAGCCAACGTTATAGCATTTTTCACCTTTATCCTTTGTCCTTTTATAATTAAAATGTAACAAACTAAGTCAGGTAAAATAAAAGTGGAAGTACATAATTTAACTGATTACCATTATACTATTAACCAAAAGTCGAAATAGATACCACTCAGAAACTTGTGTCACAACTCACGAACATTCTACGAATACTACAAATCATGGTTTGAAAGAGAATACATATGTCTTGAAGAAAGTCAAACAAAAATGAAGTAAAGATAGGAAGGGACGCCAGGGCCTGCAGACGCCTGCAGGACTACGTTGGGTCTCCTGCATGCAATATCAGCAACCGACCTCTCAATCAGCTACTACCAGCTCCGAAATCTGCACAGAAAGTGCAGAGTGCAGTATCAGTACAACCGACCCCATGCACTGGTAAGTGCCAAGCCTAACCTCGACGAAGCGGTGACGAGGCTACGGCAGGGCATAACAATATATATATCCTGCAATAGTTTATACTACGACAGAAAGGAAATACAGAATGAAATATAACAGTAACTTGCATTAATTAAATACGGAACCCAGCCGTTCTACAAATACTCAGCTATAACCCATCCTTAAGAAAGTTTCGACACCACAATAACAAATCTCAGCAGAAGAAGAATACATAACTAACAGTTGATGCGGCTCGCATCCCGATCTCACCATATAATCAATAACAGTATAAGCATTCACCCTTATTACTCCTTGTGGCGGCCTGCAACCCGATCCCACCAGTCCACCCTTATTACTCAATTTATCACCCTTATTCCTCCTATCGCGGCGTGCAACCCGATCCCACCTGTCCACCCTTATTACTCCCTGTTGCGGCGTGCAACCCGATCCCACCAGATAATCACATTTCACCCTTATTCCTCCAGTTGCA